GAGCATTGTAAAGCTCACATGATAAATGCAGAAAACATCTTGTGTGAACAACACAGCAGGCTGTACTGTATGAAGTTTCTGGTGCATGCACTTGCATTATATTGGCTTACAATAATGGATAATTTTTCAAAAAATCTTTGTGGAAAATATACATCTGGAATGGCACGGGAAAAAATAGATTTTTTTTTATTTTGGAGTGCACTGTGCCTTTAAAATTGACTACGGTTTTAGATACTGCAATGGATACTTACTAGTGATGGACTTGTTTCTCTGTTGGTGCCTGTTCTGCTCCGTAAACATTGTTCCAATGCTTGATCTAAAAAAAAAAAAAAGTTAAAAAGTGCGTTAATAAATTATTGATCTGGGTGACATAGGACCATTTTGAATGTGTTCCTTAAATAAATTATACAGGTTATGTGTTATATAAATCTGGAGAACCCTTACTAAAATTAACAATGTTTTGTGACACTAACCAAATGGTAATAAATTATTGTAATCAATCCACCATAAAAAAAACATGGTTTCTACACCTTTACTATAATAAAAACCATGGTTAATTTAGCAAATGTCCTTAAAAGAACAGCTCATCCAAACAAAAAGAAAAGTTCTCTCATTATTTAGCCTACTCACCCTCATGTTGAAACTGTATGAGTTTCTTATGTAGAACCATAATTAAGATATCTTGAGAAATGCCTTATTTGTTTTTGTTTTTCTCATACAGTTGTTTTATTCCCAACATTCTTGTGTTTCACAAAAGTAAGTTAGACATTTATTTTTGGGTCAGCTAGGCCTGTATAAACTCAAGAAGATAGAAGATAAAACATTGTCTGGAGGGTTTGAACCAGTGTGCCTTTGAGCAGAGTGTCCATGTTCTGCCTCTATTTCACGTGTATTTTATGACAATACTCACCATCTGAAGATCGTGTGGCTGGATAATATTTAACGTTACTCCCAAAATGCCTGAATCATGAAGGAAACACACACAGCAATATTAGCTATTTGTTTTTACTTAGGCTACTAACAGAGACATTTACAAAAGCTTGCAAAATTGACTCACCAGCTCCAAGACAATAACGTTAGGCCTAACTTTAACGTTAAATCCCGCGATCAACAATTTAAAAGCCTAGTTTGCAGATTCTTCTAGACTCGAGTAAAGGAGTGTGGTTCGAGTTCTTCTGTCTAAAGAGACAATGTTCTCAGTTCACTCATTGTAAAGCTCCAATGCTGAGTTTTATTTTATTTTTTTATCATAAACTAAGTTAGCTGACAATACACATGCTAGCTCAGCACATAATTAGCCTAATACATTGGAATACCGTACTAATATCAATATTTCTCTAATCGCGTTTAGATTCTCAATTTAATACACTATATTTTGATGTATTAGAATTTGTATAAAATAAAAAGTTATTTACGTTACCTTCCGTAGATTGCAATATGTCCATTGTTCGTTGTCCATATTCCTTGTTTGTTCTTCATTTACATCCCGCAACTCGCTCAAAATAAACATTTAGCAGTCCGATGTAAAATAATCCATGTTTTAAACAATGTAAAAGCCACAAAACCGAAGTAGGTCCCGAGCAGGAGCACAGACACCCACTCACTTCAACTGACGTATTCAAACTTGACTGGTAAAGGCGCGCATAGTTGTCATTGGCCAGATTCCTGGATGACAGTCAGAATAACCAATCATGCTCAAAACAACTCGGAGAGACAGCCAATAGTGTGAAAACATTGCAATAACAGGACAATATGAAATGTTTTAAAAGAAAGAATAGGAAAAAATATACACGTGCTATTTAGTTGTATTTGTAGGCTGGCTGTTATATTTAATCAATTGTTTAAATGTGTTTTCATTGCAGTGCATGATTAAAAATGAAAGATAAAAAATGAAAGATAAAAAATGAAAGATTAAACAGTAACTTGTATACCATATATAATAACATTTATTTATCACTGTTCTGATAAACAGCAATTTATCAGAACAGTGCATAATGAGTGTCCTTACATGCAAACCGAAGCATTGAGAACTTTGTAAGTGTATAGACAGTTTAATAAGAAGATACTTTACACAGACAGTACAGTTAGCGCATACAGACAGGAGCCATCTTGGAAAACAGTCTCGACCAATCGAACCACGAGAGTGAGCGAACAGTACGTGTAGATATTGAAGATAAGATAAATTATATTTATTTTTTTATTTTCTCTGTTGCGTTAAGTGCTTCTCTTATGCGAGACTGTTTTCCAAGATGGCTGCTGTCTGTATGCGCTAACTGTACTGTCTGTGTAAAGTATCTTCTTATTAAACTGTCTATACACTTACAAAGTTCTCAATGCTTCGGTTTGCATGTAAGGACACTCATTATGCTGCCGTGTTAGTGTGGGGCTAATTTGAGCCTTGTTAATGGTATTAACTAGCGATCTCTTTTTGCTTACTCGATGCCCAATATACTAGCGTTATAAGCTAAACTGTTTTTAGAGATAAAACTCTTTACATTCGATTATCATGAAAACAAATCTCAGGGAACGATTTAGTCTGTACCAATGTGTTATTACACCCGAGGTTCATTTTGCGCCGGAGTTCTCCTTTAAGCCTGTAGTCCAGACTAAAATGCACGTTTGAGCTGTATTACCTGAAAGCAACTTGTAGGCTATACTGACATATCTTATGTCAGTGCCATTGTTTTGTCTCAAGATGCACACCAGTAATGTTTTTTTCTTCTAAGGTACATTTTTAAAAGCTATAATTGAATGCCCAAATTTAACTAAGGCCTAATCCTGGCTTTATATCTAAACCCTGTCTGTGAAACCGGGGGTTAGAAATTAAGGGGTTAACCCTAACCTTAACCCTTGTCTACAGACTTTTATTTAACAGCATGGATACTCCAAGGTGTTGACTGCAGTGGTTAGGTCTTTAGCATTGATAAAGGACAAAGATCTTCTCACTGTGACAGTCTGTAATGTATTTTAGCAATGATTGTTTGTAAGGAGTGTCCCTAAAATAGAGCTATTGATGCATTCAAGACATGTCATAAAGATCGTATTTACGAATTGAACACACATGAACGCCACCACAATGATGAAAATAGGAAGTTATTTACTGTAAAATTAGGATATTTTTTTTACAGTGCAGTATGAACATCTGTTCTGAACTAGTTCTGGCTGTCAGTGGACGTTTAGATAATGGCCAGATTGGACATCTTTTATTTACGTAATTTATTGACTGTTTCTGGATGTCAACGGACGTCCAGATTATAGTCAGTATGAACGTCTTTTCTCAACTAGTTCTGGCTGTCAGTGGACGTTTAGATAATGGCCAGATTGGACATCTTTATTCACGTCATTTATGGACCATTTCTGGATGTCAACGGACGTCCAGATTATAGTCAGTATGAATGTCTTTTCTCAACTAGTTCTGGCTGTCAGTGGACGTTTAGATAATGGCCAGATTGGACATCTTTATTCACGTCATTTATGGACTATTTCTGGATGTCAACGGACGTCCAGATTATAGTCAGTATGAACGTCTTTTCTCAACTAGTTCTGGCTGTCAGTGGACGTTTAGATTGTGGCCAGATTGGACATCTTTATTTACGTCATTTATGGACCATTTCTGGATGTCAACGGACGTCCAGATTATAGTCAGTATGAACGTCTTTTCTCACCTAGTTCTGGCTGTCAGTGGACGTTTAGATAATGGCCAGATTGGACATCTTTATTCACGTCATTTATGGACCATTTCTGGATGTCAACGGACGTCCAGATTATAGTCAGTATGAATGTCTTTTCTCAACTAGTTCTGGGTGTCAGTGGACGTTTAGATAATGGCCAGATTGGACATCTTTATTCACGTCATTTCTGGACTATTTCTGGATGTCAACGGACGTCCAGATTATAGTCAGTATGAACGTCTTTTCTCAACTAGTTCTGGCTGTCAGTGGACGTTTAGATAATGGCCAGATTGGACATCTTTATTCACGTCATTTATGGACCATTTCTGGATGTCAACGGACGTCCAGATTATAGTCAGTATGAATGTCTTTTCTCAACTAGTTCTGGCTGTCAGTGGACGTTTAGATAATGGCCAGATTGGACATCTTTATTCACGTCATTTATGGACCATTTCTGGATGTCAACGGACGTCCAGATTATAGTCAGTATGAACGTCTTTTCTCAACTAGTTCTGGCTGTCAGTGGACATTAAGATAATGGCCAGATTGGATATCTTTATTCACGTCATTTATGGACTATTTCTGGATGTCAACGGACGTCCAGATTATAGTCAGTATGAACGTCTTTTCTCAACTAGTTCTGGCTGTCAGTGGACGTTTAGATTATGGCCAGATTGGACATATTTTTTTAAGTCATTCATCGACTAATTCTGGATGTCACCGGACGTTCAGATTATAGCCAGTATGAACGTCTTTTCTCAACTAGTTCTGGCTGTCAGTGGACGTTTAGATTATAGCCAGATTGGACATAATTTCTCATTGTCATTAATCAACTAATTCTGGATGTCAATGGACGTTCAGATTATGGCCTGGACGGACGGACGTGATATCAACCTGTTTTGTATGTCCACAGACGTCGCTTGCTCAGTGGGTTTTAGTGTGTTCAGTTATTATTTTTAATGCCTTATTTATTCATAACTGTGTGTAATATTAAAGTTATTTTCATATGATGTCTATATATTAGGCTACACATGATATGATAATAAACATATTCTAATTACAAGCTCCACAAAACAATCACACTTTAAAGGTCAGCAGCATTCACTCATGGCAAGACTAGCCTTATCTGCATGTCTCTAGTGTGGTTATCAGTCAGAGTTTAAGGAAATGATGCATTCATCCGTGTTCTGATCAATCCCACATCCACTTCCAAATTTCAGTTTAAACTCCAATAAACGCTGACGTCCGCGGCGCGTGCGTTGAGAGAGAGTGAGTGAGTGAGTGAGTGAGTGAGAGAGCGCAAGATCTCTGCGATCTGTTCCTGTTCATCACTCACACCAGCAGCAGTACCAGCACCAGCACCAGCTCGGACCTTATAAACTCTCCATCCCAAATCCCGGAATATCAAACCGAGCAATATGAAATTGGACATAATGTGGATTTATCAAACTCTTCTGTGTGTCTTACTGTCCCTGGATGCGGGTGAGTGACCATGACCACGTGACGTGCGTTATTGATCAACTGATCGTGTTTTAAATTGTGTTGATCACAGTGCAAAGATGCCACTGTTAGATTGTCTTTGAGCAATATGAAGTCGATAAAACGTTCATACACGTTCATGATCAATAATTTATGACAACATATGTTTTTACATTACTTTCACTCATCAAAATAAAACTTATACAAGATTCAACTCATTATTAAGCCAGTTAAATGTAATTTAAGTTGAAATGACTTAAACATTGATTGTTGATTAAAAAAATTTTAAAAAAATTTGAGGCAGACACTTTTTTAGTGTAGTGTAAAACTATTTAAGCCATCAGTGTCCTGACAAGAAGTTAAACGAGATGAAATTCTGGCAGTGTCTGAAGGAGATCTCATATTAATGACAAACACTGTAAACTCTCACTCTCAGTCAGTACTCTAAAATTGGGTTTAATTAAACTTTATTATCTATGAATGAAGCTTAATTGCTAAAGTGGTGCCAGAGTTACAACCTGCAGATGTAGGTTCATTGCACTTTACTGATGAAGAAACTTGAGTTAAAACTCTTACTCATACAAACAAGTGGAAATGCAAGATATTATTATAAAGGTGATTTTTGTTTTGTTTTACAGTATATGGTAGAAACTATGATTACCATGGTAAATTGTTGGTTTGTGGAGTGCCTGAAGGGTTCGTGTTTAGGGTTTTCCATTTAATAAAAGAAGATTTTCTCCCAGTCCCTGCTTTTTTGAGGTATAGAAAACTAAAAATGCAATTAAGGGGGAATAAACAATCAAGGGGGTTTGTAATAGGGGGCCACAGTTTTCAAACTGTCCTCATTTACAATAGTGTATATTTAGTTTGGATTTTACACAAACCCAATGACCCTTCCTCATGTTTCAGTCTCATAAACGGAAGCCTGGAGATGTTGCATGCAGAGGATATGGGGTGGTGTGGCCTAATGGTCAAAGTTCTGTGCTGGAACAGTAGGCTGTAGGTTCAAACCCCACATGATTATCACCATTGAGTCTTTTAGCAAGACACTTTTCTGCAGTATCATTTTCATGGGGCCTGAAACTGTAAAAAGTGTATAAAAGCGCCAACATTTACGCTACTTTCAGTCCTGGTCCACTGAAGAAACTGATGCTCAATAACAGTGACATGCATCATTAGATGCGCAACAGTAAAGCACCAGACCCTTCCCGGAGTACACATTTCCAGCAATGGGCAAACGCACATATGGGGTGAATGGACTCTCTAAAGCGGCGTTATCGACATGCTGTGCAACATCTGGACAGAGCCGTTTCTCCCATATTTCACCATTGCAAATATTCACCAGACCAGATGTGCTGCGTAAACACAGAACGAGAGGTTCTTCAAACTTTCACTGAAGCTCTAGGAAAGGAAAGGACATTAGTGAGTCAGACTGAAACCATTAATGCTGATGTTTCACTGATGCCCATCCTCATTGCTACCATCATCCCGTTGTTATTTAAGGAAGTGGTTTAGCCAAATCTAATAAGCATGCTGGGAGATAAAGATGCCCCCGACAGGCCAGAAAGAGGAATTTAAAGAAGTCTAATTGGGGCGCTGAAGGAAAAGATCAATGTTTGAAGAGCTGCTTGATGAAATCCAGATGTGTTCAGATGCGGCCCAAACATTAATAATGTGTTCTCACCAAAACCGCTTCAGCCACAGGAGTTTGGTAAGAGATGTGCAGCACTACGCGTGCCTGAATCAAACTGAGGGGTGTTGCTTTTCCCCCCTGATTTTCAACAGTTTACTGAATGAGTTGATAATCAGGGCACCGGGCCCAAGGCTACTGCACAGAACAGATCCAAGTTCATGCCCACGCTGTCGCTGAGTGAGATAACAGCCGATGGGAGACTGTATACAATTCTGTTATCAGCCTTTAAACGGGATAGTTCATCCAAAATGAAGTGAGCATGCCTGTCAAGCCTCAAAAACTCATAAAATGAGTCCATACGACTTGTATTCTTTTTGTGTGAAGAACAGACTGAATATTAAGTCAATATTCACTGGTAACATTTGTGATTCAATGAGTCTTAAAACATATCGTTTATTGTGAGCTATTGAAATGGCTCAAAAGAATGATTCAGTCAGAATCGATCCGGTCCCAGATGCTGCCCTTATGGATTACTGTCAGCACACTTATGAAACATGAAAATCCGACACTCTTGTTGACATCACAAGCATGTGGACAAGACGACAATCACAAGTCCGCAAAACTGAGTACTCTCTTACTCAATGATCTGGTTGCTGCAGCTTTCACTTAGTCCAGTTAAATTTGGCATGGAACAGAAGTTGACTTTTCTTTCCTATTGAGACGTATCCGGGTGAAATTCTCGTGCAAGAAAAAATGTTGAGCGGGAATTGATTTTGTCCATGGGGAATTGATTGGATCGTTCTGGTTTGTTATTGCTGTGATGTCATGTGAGTGACAGGTTGTCTCACTCTCATGCCAGAAAACACATCATCACAGAAGAGCCATCGTTGCAGGCAGGGGAAATTATTTTGAGACTATGAGGGCACATGTTTTATATATATATATATATATATATATATATATATATATATATATATATATATTTATCAAGTATAATACATACTGCAATGTTCCATAAAAATCAAATCAAGTATAATACATACTGCAATGTTCCATAAAACAAGAATTGTCCATTTTGGCTTCATGGACTCCCTGGATAGGAAGATTTTCAGTGAATAATGTCTGCATGAGTTGTATAGACTACTTTTATGGGACAATAAGAGACAAAAATGATGTAGTTGTAAGTTTTGGGTGAACTATTGCATTTTAGAGTGCAGATCAGCAAATAAAGACAGTGTAAGGGACATATGTTGTACCTGGAAACAACAGAAAGATTATGTATATGTTTTAGTGTGGGAGTTACCATGAGAGCTTAGCACATGTATGTAAGCTGACTTTGGAAATATCCCCGGACCACCACAGTGCAGTGAATCGTGACACGTGTGTGTAAGTGAGAGTCTCTGGGCCCTTCACTGGCCTCTCATTCATTTCTGCAGAAGAAATAAATAGCAAACAGTCATAAAATAGCAAACAGAAACCTGATTTTACTCATGTTAAAGAATGTAAAAATGCTGACGAGTCTATGTATGTTGACTCTGCTTACTTTTGTTCATTAAAGAAACTTTTAGACACCAAAGAATCTTTAAAAAAAACACACACACACAGCAGCAAATCAGAGTATTAGAATGCTTTTTGAAGGATCATGTGACACTGGACTAATGATGCTGAATCAAAACAATATTATAGTTTTATCTAATGAATATAGCCTTGGTGAGCATAAGAGACAAAATTTTTTACAAAATCTTACCTACCCCAAACCTTTGAATAGCAGTGTCATTTTAAAAACAGGTCACATGTCAAAACAAACATTTAAAAATGTTTTATTTAAAAAGTTCTTTTCATTACACACTAAAGAGGGGAAAATTGAAAATGAAAATGAATTTGTAATGAAAAGTTATTTTTGTTACACACTAAAGATTGGAAACTGTCAAATTATATCAGTTTTAATTCACAGAGACACAAATTTGGTACAAATGGGACTGTTTCCTGAGAATTACCCTTCTGATAATGTGTGTGACAGCTCTTACATGTATGAGGTTACGAGTGTACATGTACGTGTGCATGTGTGTGTGTTTTAAGGACCTGCGTGTGTGTTTGGGTTTAATCTCCTTGTCTCTTTTGTTCAGAGTGCAGAAAACAGACATTGCAGAGGTATCAGAAAAGTGAAAACAGCCGGCTGCTTTGTACAGACTGTCCAGAATCTCCTCGAATTAGAAACCTGTCGCTGGATGACTGTGCACGCAAATGCAGCAAGAGCAAGAAGTCCTGCAGGTGACAGATGCACATGTAATCACACAGACACACAAGCTTAAAGGGGTAGTTCAACCAAAAAATGAAAATTCTGTTAACATGTACTTTTTTTGTAACACAACCCTAGTGAAAAAAATCTATACCAAAATGTATTTAAAATACATTTATTTCATACTTTGTATACTACAAATCCATTCACATATTTACTGACATATTGACACTTGCTGATATAAATATTATAATTGAACTTTATTTGGAGTACTTCTTTATTGCACAATGCACATTTCTTAATATTAAGCCTAAAATGTGTTTTAATATCACTATTAGTAAGGGTAGTATGATCTCTGTATAATATCAGTTTTTAAATGCAAGATATGTAAAGTGTACTTGTAATATTTCCACTTTAGCACAATCAAATATTCTTAAGTATCTTTAGTTGGACCTCAGCACTATTTACAGGTTACTGAAGTGCATTAAGTACAAAATTAGTTGTTCCAATTTAGCAGACTTTAAGTATACCAATTTAGTATACCAAAAGCACAATTGTAGGGTATTTTTATTTAGTATATAAATATGTAAATGTATTCTAGTATACTTAGCATAAAATAAATGTATTTTATGTACATTTTGGTACATTTATTTTTCACTAGGGAAAAGAAGATATTTTGAAGAATGTCTCAATGTTTTTGTCCATACAATTAAAGTTAATGGGAAACATTCTTCAGAATATCTTCTTTTTCACATTTGGAACATCATGAAAGTTAGTAAATGTGGACAGAATTGTAATTTTTGGATGAACTATTGATTCAGCAAGCTCATGTGAGACCTTCATCTGATCGTGGTGGTTCTCTGACCCAACAATTGTCTTTCTTTTTCTTGGTTTTCTCTCCTTGCTTCCTCACAGGGCATTCTACTTTGACCAGATAAACAGGAAATGTCACTTGCTTCCCTTCGATCGTTTCTCCGAAGGCGCAAAGAGAGAGCGAAAACCCAATTGTGACCTTTTCGAGAAGAAAGGTAAATATTTGAAATTCCCTCACACTTGACTTTTTACTTTTATTTCTTCCGAAAGTTTTCTTGGAAATATTTGGTTGTAAAACTGCGCAAATGCCAGTCATGTTTGTTTAGATTGCTGGCTCGAAGTGTAAAATCACTTCTATGTATAAAATCCCCTCTGTCATTGTAAACAACACATGCTTAAGAGATTTGGCAGCAAACAGAGTATAAGAAAGCATGACTGTTGACGGTAACAAGATGCCGTATGTTTATGCTTTCAGCAAAAGCTGGAGTTGAAAATTTAGATTTATGCCATAGTCGTCAGTAAAACTCTTGTTTGGAGACTTAAATCACTTCAGGATGTCAGTGAAATGTGTAATCTGTAAACAACGTTCATCATATCAGATTATATGAATATCTGTGTGCCGTATGTTTTCCGCAGACTACGTGAGGGAGTGCATCATTGGGTCGGGTGTCAACTACAAGGGGAGAAGGTCAATCACAAAGACTGGAATTACGTGTCAATCCTGGAATATGTCCATCCCACATGAGCACAAGTAAAAAGTCACTCTAATTTTTTTTTTGCTTTCTCTCTCTTTGACTCTGTGGGATGAATTTACTAAACAGTTGTGCTACTTCAATATGCGCTGGTGGATTAAGTCATTGCCATTATTTTCTGTGCAAATAGACCTAATTTAAATGGAAATAAGGCTAATTGTTAGTGAATGGCATTTTTAAGATGCACTATCATGTTTTTTTTTATTATTTAAATTAGTCAGGCACTGAAAAAGTACCCCTAAATAATTGTCTCAGCCAATAGAAATGCTTTGGGAAGGAACAGGATCTTGCAAGACATTGACATGCAACATTGTGACAGCTCTTGGTTCCTTAGTGAATTGTTTTACATCAATGGAGCCGGTGCATTCAAATAAAACGCAAACAATTTACCTTAGTATAAATAGCATATCACTTCTATTTACACTTTGTGTATAGCACCTATCACTACCCGCACTCGTAAACAAGATGCTAATTATTGTGTTTTACACTGTGTGCAAACATTATCTAAAACTATTTACGCTCAGTATAAATAGCGTTTAAGTTCTGTTACACTTTGTGTAAACTGCATCTACCTTTTGTATACGCTGAGTAAATAGCTACAGCTAATAAACAATGCTATTCATAGTCAATTCTTGCATCTGTCTTTTAAACCGCTCATTCCTCTGTAACTCATTCTCTCAGTAAGCTTGTCATTTGCAGCTTTCATATGGTCTCTGACAGCTAGCAATTTTCGCAATACTCCTCGCTGTTCCTAGCGCGGACTTAGCCGTTAGCCGCTAATTGCTGTCAGTGTGCTGTCTGCCAACAATCACTGATTAGTCTAGACTGCAGATGAGATTGCTTTCAGGCCTGGTCGTTTGAGAGTCTTCTTTCTCACAACAGAAGTTAAGTGGGACCATTCGGAGTGATGCCTTGACTGCGCGAACACAAGCCATTCTGGTTAATGTGGTCAATTGTTGCCAGGTCCTTGTTAGCCAAGATGTTATTAGCTCTAAGAGCTACACTGCTTACAAGCTGTATAAAGATTTTAGAGGTGAGAGAATGAAAGAAAGATAGAAAAAGACCGAGAGAAGGAGGATTTATGGACTGAAGTCATGTTCTGTCTGCCCTCCAGCTGAGCTCACAAAGCCGCAGACACATTAAAATACGAGCAGCATTTGAGACTAGTGCACAGATGCTAATCCAGATCCTCTCCTCCCTATGGATAACAGTACTTTCCGACTTCGATTCCCTTCGAACCTTTTTCCATGTGATAAGATCTTTTTCCTCTCAGACCCAAGCTTCTCAATCTATCCACCAGCACAATGTGTCCACCTGCCCCATACATTTGGCCAAGCCAAACGGGAGAGACAGCAGAAAATTATCAGAAAGAATGTGATGAGAACCAAGTAAATCTACTCTAAGAAGACAAAAAATGCAAGCCCCTTTTCTACCAAGAAGGTGCCAGTGCTGGTTGCAGAGCCGGTGGCCAGCCAACACCGACTTGCTGCCAGGAAATGTCACTTTGTTGAGATGAAATCCTTTTGTATGTACACAAATGGAGAGTTTCCAATAAATTGCCCATTTCCGACTCATATGACCTCCAGGTGTTGTAAGTGTGATTAAAGAAAGTTTAAAGTTTCTGTTTGGATTGCATTCAGTGTGCGAGAGCGTCTGTTGGAAGCCAGAGAAGAATAGCTGGCTAACATCTGTTAGCACAACATCATTAGCTGTAGAAATCTCAGGTCTCATGTGGAACCAGCCATAAGATCCAGATGCAGGAACACAGTCCATTCCAGCACCATACGCCTTTCGTAACCCAGTTGTTTAAGCAAGTCATCTGTGCTGCATGGCTTTTGTTTGAATGGTGTCCTAATCTTGTGTTATTTTAACTTATTTTGAAGGTCTAGTTCTGGATTTGATTTTAAGAGTTTTCCAGATCAATTCATTGTTTAGGTACACTTAGAATTAGATAGCATCTATTGAGATACAATATGCTGGTTTTACATGGTTGAAGCTGGTCATTTATGGTTGTTAGCTGGTCCAGACTGGCTTAAGTGATATTCAGGTCAATCTAGTAGACCAGGGTTCCTCAAATCTGGCTTTGGAGGGACACTACCCTCGAGAATTTAGCTTCAACCCTAATCAAAGACACCTTAGCAAGATAATCAAGGTCTTAAGAGTTCCTTAAAAAGTCAGGTAGGTGACTTTGTTCAGGGTTTGAGTTTCTGTCCTCCATTAAAACATATGGAGGACCATACATCCATCCATCTTCCATACTGTTTATCCTGTATATAGGGTTGTGGGGCCTGGTAGACCAGGGGTGTCCAGTCCTGCTCCTCGATGACCATTTTAGAGGGCCTGCTGAATTTAGCTCCAACCTGCCCATTTGGCATCATCTATTAATCTCAAAGTCCTTGATCAACTGGTCTAGGAGTATTTAATTAAGGTTGGAGCTAAACTCTGGACACCCCTGTGTTTGACCATCTTGGTCAACCTGTTTTGAGATTGTAGATTATCCTGGTGTGGACCTCTCTGCTGAAAGACCTACAGGCTTCTTAACTAGCTCAATCAAGGAGACTTCCATGATCATCCACCTGCTAAGTTTTACTGATGAACAACATGGCTATGCCAGGTCTCAAGGTGAACCATCACCAAACTAGCACTAACTAGAAATTCATATTTGTCTAAGTTGACCCTTTAGGCTGATTCAGCTGATTTACTCAATCAGTGTTCCAAAAGGCCAGGGGTATCCAATCCTGCTCTTGGCGGTCCAACTTTCTGCAACTTTCTGCTTCAACCTGCTCCAAAACACCTGCTTGGAAGTTTGTGGTAATCCTAAAGACCTGTTCTTTGTCCAAAATCAAATACTTCCCTACTATATAGTATGCGGGGAAAAAAGTATGTTAACAGAGTAGTATGTCCGAATATATGGTATTTGAAAAACGGTAGGCAAAAAATTAGGGTTAATTAGGGTTGGAGCTAAATTCAGCAGGACAGTGGCTTTCTAGGAGTAGGACAAGTCAATTTAAGCTGGATGATCACATTTACTGAATTTTTAACTCTGTTTTCCCTCTCCTTTTATCTATATATTTATCAGTTTCAAGCCTGCCAGACACAAAAAGTTTGACCTGCGTCAGAACTTTTGCCGAAACCCGGACAATGATCCAAGTGGACCATGGTGCTTCACTGAACTCACTGAGACTCGGCACCAGGAATGTGGGCTGCCCCAATGTGCAGACGGTTAGAGATGACCTCATCTATATGCAATCTATATATTATAATGTGTGTTATTTGTGATATGAGAGTACAGTATGTGAGTGTGTTTGTGTCTGTTGCACCATATAAGACTATTTATATGTGTGCATTTGGTGTTTGTAATACATGTGTTTCTGCGTGTTTGTAGTGGAGTGCATGAGGTGTAATGGGGAAACATACAAGGGGCCCATGGATCACACAGAGAGTGGGAAAGAGTGCCAGAGATGGGACTCACAGAAACCTCATAAACACACCTACCAGCCTCACAGGTACCCATTCACGTGTACTTGTACACACATATACACACTCAACTGTGCGATTTACTCGTTCTTCTGTATCTGTATTTATAGGCATGTAGGTAAAGGCCTGGATGACAACTACTGCCGTAATCCCAATAATGATGTGCGTCCATGGTGTTACACAATGGACAAAAGCACAACATGGGAATACTGTAACATCAGTGTGTGTGGTCTGTTCACTTTTCTTCATTTTCATCTTTCTTTCTATAAAACGTACATGCTTTGGGGTTCTAGCTATGTTTCTCGTTTGGTTTTGTTGTGATATTCTGTTATGCTGCTGTGATCAAAATATCTCTCCATTTTGTACTGACTAAAATATTATATGATATGATATTATATTATATTATATTGTTGAATTTAATTCAAGCTAAAAGTTTGTAATGCATGTGGAAGAAACCCCTTTCCTATCACAGATAGTTGCGTGTGTGTGATATTTGGTTTGGCACAGGGATTGTTTACAGGTGCACTGGCTTGTTGTAAATCTCATGGTTACTCCTGTATTTCATCCGTGGCATCTTTCCAGTGGAAACATTTTTCAAATGCTGATGCTTGAAATTCCTGACATTCTCTCTCCCTTTCTCTGTTTCAGACTCAGATAATGATGTGGAAGTGGAAGTGGAGGTGACCACCTCTTGCTTTCGGGGTCAGGGAGAGGGCTACAGGGGGACAGTCAGTGTGACCCCTGCAGGTGTGACCTGTCAACGCTGGGACGCCCTATTTCCTCACAACCATTCATACACACCACACAACTATAAATGCAAGTGAGTCATTCTACACTAATGTTTTTATTATTATTATCATTATCATTATTATCTACATAACACTTTTTGAAGAAAATATGAATGGTGTTTGCCAATGGAAAATATATACTATGATATATATATATACCTTTTGTGGATATTCATAATATGCTTGGATATTTTAAAAGGGTAGCTTTTTTTCAGTTAGAGGAACCTTAATTGCTACCAAATAGCTACTGTAACCAAATAGATTCAAAATATTTAATGAAATAAAGTAAATTACAACAAAAAATCTAAAGACATGTTTTCCACAAGGTTTTTGTTTTGTTAACCTTGTTGTCCACAAGGTTTTTGTCAAAAGAAAAAATCATTTGAATCTTTGAATCAGAGTTTTGAATGATTCATTGATAGTTTTAACTGATTTACTTAAATGAATAAAACATACTCTAACACTGTTTATAAATCAGACACATTATTTAAACTTTTGTGCTTTAATGTTCTCATACTGGCGGGTTACCAGTTTAATGACACACTAGAAAACTAAACAACCAAATAAAAAGCGCATTAGAATCATCGCAATATACACAATGTTGCTCAATGTTATATTGCCAGCAAAATCATTGCAAACATATTGTAAACATTTACAGGATTAGGGGTTTGTTCACATCTGGCTGGTACTAAATCATTCTGAAAAAGATGCAGAAAAAAATATATACATGCAAATATGATTTTACAAAATTGTTTGTGTGTGTCCCATTCAGGGATCTCAGGGAGAACTATTGCAGAAACCCTGATGGCTCTGAAATTCCCTGGTGTTTCACCACAGACCCAAAAGTACGCAAAGCTTTCTGTACCAACATCCCCAGATGTGAGGCAGAGAGCTCTGACAGCACAGGTAAGCCAACACACACACACACACACACACACACTTCTTACACGCTTACACACACTCTCACACTTTGTACTGCACCGCATGGCTAAGCATCGTGAACCATATTAGCCACATAATGAATTGTGTTGTTCCAAAACGCTTAGCTCATCATAATTTACAAGAATTTTAATGATGAAAGACAAAGATGTTTTGCACAGAGGCGCCATCACGGACGTTTGGAGACTGCCTGTAAAGATCTGGCACCAGCTCCAGTGCGGTTTTGTTCTGGGTACCCTCACATTCCCCTTCATCTGTGTCACACAAGCGCTCCTAAAAGAAAAAGATTCTTCTGCGCAAATCGTGTAGTCTGTTTCAAAATCCTGTTAGAATAATCTCATTTTTTTTCATGTGTGTTCCAGCTATGTGTTTCAAAAGACACATTTCTCACCAGAAGAGTCCCTTTGAGGTTTCAGGTCAGAGAGACAGAGCAATGCCTCTCTGGATTCACTCAAACTTCAGTCAGATCTTGGCACAGACAAAAGCTTTTTTCCCCTACTTGTTTGCCAACCACCAATTGTAAAGTGGTCCCTGACGTGAAATCGACCCTCCCCCACTAGTAAAATTCTATTTCAAACATGCTTACTTCATGACAGCATGGATACAATCAGCAAATCCATAAATAATCTAAACATGGAGCTTTGAATAAGCATGGCTTTTACTGAAGGGACTGTACATGC